GTGCCCGGCGTGGCGTGTGCCCGGCGTGGCGTGTGCCCTTGCGGTGTGTGCCCGCGTGGCCTGTGCCGTTGCGGTGTGTGCCCGGTGAGGCGTGTGCCCTGCTGCCGCCTGGCGCTGGCACCTTGCCCTCAGCCCAGGACAGGAGGCCCCTGCCGTGGGGCGCCCGAGGCCGCCGGGCCCGAGGTCCCGGCGGGGGTCCCGAGCGCCCTGCGTCCTGCGGCTGTGGGCGGAGCGGCCGGCGGGCCCCGGCGTGCCGGCCCCTCACACGTGCTCCCCGAGAGGGCCGGCCGGGGCGCGCGCGGGGCCCAGAGCTGGGGTACACCTGCCAGGGCCCGGCCGCCAGGCCGCGCCAGCCCGTCCCGTGGGCGAGGGCGAAGGCCAGGCCGGTGCCCGCGGCCCGTGTGCTGACGAGACGCGCCCTGGCCGCCGGCTGGCGGGCGCAGCCGGGGGCCCGAGCCATCGCCCCCAGTGGCTTCCCGCCCGGCCAGGGCTGCTGGGGCCTTTCTTGGGCCCTGAAAGGGGAGCAGCTTCGATGCCCCGACTTCAGGGACATTTGGGAGTCGGTTCTGGCGGGGACCCCCCCTCGCCGGGGCTGGGTCGGGTCAGGGGCCGGGGGCCGGGCTTGGGGCCGGGCTTGGGGGCGGGGGGCACAGGCTGGGGGCCGGGTCACGGCCAGGGGGGCTGGGGGGAATTTCAGGGGCGGGGCCCCCGACTGCCGGGACGAAGGGCTGCACCCCGAGCCCAGTGGTTACGCGAGCTGCCGTCGCTGCTGGCTCCGGGCGGCGCCCCCGGTCCCCAGCGAGAGGCCGGCCTGGGGCGGGCGCGGCGAGGGCCCCGGGGTGCAGCCCCTGCGCACCCCACAGGCCCTGGGTCCCCGGCGCGGGCCGGAGCCTGTTCCTCGCTCGGGCTCGGCTCCCCCAGGACGGTCTCGGGGCGACCCCGTCAGGCTGCCCGGCCGGGCGCCCGCACCCCCCTCGGGGCGGGACGGCCCCCGCGCCTGCAGAGTGGGGGGCCCCGCGGCGCGGCCCAGAGCCCAGGGCGAGGCCGGAGCAGCCGGGGCCAGGCCGGGGCCAGGCGGCCACGGGGAGCCGGCAGGAGGGCCTCGCCCGGCCACACGCGCCGCGTGGTTTCCTCACACGCACACACACGGACACACACCACACCACACCCCACAACACTCACACGCACACGGGACACACACACCACCACATCACACACACCACACACCCCCCACACCACACCACACCATACACACACCACACACCACACCACACCCACGCCACACACCACACCACACACACCACAGCCACACACACCCACACACCACACCACACACACGCCACACCCCACAACACACACACGCCACACACCACACCACACACACGCCACACACACACACCACAAACGCCACACACCACACCACACACACGCCACACACCACACCACACACACGCCACACACCACACCACACACACCACACCACACCACACACACGCCACACACCACACCACACACACGCCACACCCCACACCACACACACGCCACACACCACACCACACACACACCACACCCCACAACACACACACGCCACACACCACACCACACACACACCACACACACACACCACAAACGCCACACACCACACCACACACATGCCACACACCACACCACACACACGCCACCAACCACACCACACACACCACACCACACCATACACACGCCACACACCACACCACACACACGCCACATACCACACCACACCACACACACCACACCACACCATACACACGCCACACACCACACCACACACACCACACCACACCATACACACGCCACACACCACACCACACACACGCCACACACACACACCACACCCCACAACACTCACACGTACACGGGACACACACGGGACACACACACCACCACATCACACACACCACACACCCCCCACACCACACACCACACACCCACACCACACACACGCCACCACCAACACTCATACCACTCACACCACACACGCTCACACCACACACCACACACACCACACACACACACCACACACACCAGACACACCACACACACCACACACCACACACCACATATACACATACACCACCACATTACACACCACACACACCACACAACACTCACACTCACATACCACACACCACACAACACACACACAAACATCACACACACACACCACAACACACACACCCCCCCCACACACACCCCACATACCAAACACCGCACACACACATATACACCACATCCCACACACACACCACAACACCCCCCAACACACACACCACACCACCATACAACACATGCACCACACACACACCACACACACCACACAACACTCACACACAATCACCACACACGTACCACACACCTCTCTCACACACACCACACACCACACACACACACCAAACACAGCACACACACATACACACCACAACCCCACACCCACACCACACCACACACCCACACCTCACTCATAAACACACACCACACACACACCAGACACCATACATCACCACACACACACTACCACATTACACACACCACACAACACACAAACACCACTCACACACCACACACATATACACCCACACCAAACACCACACACACACCTCACACACACACTACACACCACTCACACACACACACCACATCACACACACACACCACACACACTACACATCACCACATCACCACACCACACACCCACACCAAACACCACACACACACCACCCCATACTCCCACCTCATACACACACATGGCACACACACCACATACACACACCACACACCACACACCACACACCACACACACCACACTCACAACACATACACACACCACACACACCACACATAACATATACCACACATATACACCCCACAGCATATTCCACACACACCACACACACCATACATACCCACACACACACCACATACACATACCACACCATACCACACCACACATCACACACACTTCAAAATCCACAAATACAACCACACAGTGCAAGCCACACACACACTACACACCAGACACCACATATACCACAAACATACTACCCATCTCACATACACACACACCACAAAGCCACACACTGTAAAACACATATACCACACACCATACATACACCTCACAATCCACAAACACAACCACATTACTGCAAACCACACACACTACACACCAGATACCACACACACCACAAACACACCACATATCTCACACACACACCACACACACAACCACACACTGCAAACCACACACAACACACACCGCACCACAGACACCATACACACCACACTCACACCATATACCTCATACACATACACACATACAACCACATACTACAAACCACACATACACATCACACACACGCACAAAAACTACACACACAACATACTGCAACCACACATACACTCTGCCCACACACACGACAACCACAAACACACGCCCCACACACACACCACATACCACACACACCATCCCACACCACACATACAGACCCTACCACACACACACAAACCCACCACACACCACAAACACACAACACACAAACCTCCCATATATACCACACACACACCACCCCACACACGTGTCATACACACCACACACACCAAATACAAAAAACACACACCCTACACATCAAAGACACCACACACACACCACGCACACACACACCACACAACTGTCCCCACACCACACACACAATATACATGCATCACATACACCACACACACCACACACACCACACACACCACACACACACCACACAATATACACACATCACACACACCACACACCACCCACACACCACACGGGGATTACGACGAGCTGTGTCACCTCGACCGCACGTGCCCCTGTCCCCGCTGACCAGTGTCTTCCCCTGCAGGTTCTGGGCGGACGCGGGATGGCCTGGGCTCTGGTCCTGCTGGCCCTGTGGGCCTCAGTTGCTCGCGGTGAGTGCAGTCCTGGGCTGCAGGGGGGCTCCCTGAACGATGAGGGTCTCCCCAAAAGATGAAAGAGTCTGCCCCGAAAGACGAGGGGCTCGTCCAGGAAGCTGTGGCCGGGGAGTCTAACTTGCCAGAATGTTCTGAGCTTCATCTGAAGTAAACGTGCGCATTTAGCACGTGCATCCGTGTAACGTGGAATGCCGGGCTTGGCCTCGGCTCCCCCTCCGGAGTGTGCTTCTGCCGTGCACTTAGCCTTGGGGGGGGTTGGTTTTTTTAAAAAAACTTTTATTTATTTTATTTATTATTTATTTATTATTTTTACTCTTTAAGTTGAATCCGCCTCGCCCTGCGCCATGGCCTGGCTCCTGCTCCCGGGGGTCCCCAGGCGCCCTCGCGGGGCTCCCTGCCTCACAGCTTGTTTTCTTCCCGCCTTTCCCCACTCACAAGTGGCCCCGCATTTATTTTCCGCGGCCCGGTTCCCATGGCCACGTGACACGCAGCGAGGACAGCTCGGGCCCCGCTGCCATCCCCCGGGCTGGCACACGGGGCGCCACGGGCAGGCCTTCCTCGCGCGTGAGACTTTTTTGATTGCGAGAACTTGCTGCAGGTGTGTCGGGAGGCGCCCAGCCAGGGGTGGATTTCGACGTCGTTGCTGACGGGTCCGGGAGGCCGACAGACGGCCCCTCGGGGGCGGTGCCGGCTAGCGCTCGCCACTGCCCCTGCCCTTCCCTAGAGAGTGGCGCCTGAGCCTGTGAGGGCAGCGCCCCCGGCCCGCGCCCGCGGCCTCCCAGCTGCCACCGCGGACGCCCCCCGAGTGCGATGGGCCACGGCTGCGGCTGCGGTCAAGCCCGTGGGGACGGCAGGAAAGCGAGCGTGCCGGGCTCGGGCTCCGACGACGGTGGCCGCGGCCTGTGGTCAGCGGCTTGGCGGGGCGGCGGGTTCAACTCGCCCAGCGGCCGGGGAGCCGGGCTCTCACTTGCCCACGTCAGGTGAAAGCCGCCCGCTTGAACGTTCTCCGCAGCAAACTGTTTGAAGTCTTCAAACTGTTGCTGCTTTGGAGGCCGATGCTCTTCTTCCCAGCAGCTTGGATGGGCCTGGAACCTTCACTTAGAGCCTCCCCGGCCTCCCCTGGCCTCCCCCCGGCCTCTCCCGGCCTCCTCCCGGCCTCCTCCCGGCCTCTCCTGGCCTCCCCCGGCCTCCCCCGGCCTCCACCTCTCTCCCCCCACTTCCCCTGGCCTCCCCCAGTTTCCATGGGCCTCCCCCGGCCTCCTCTGGCCACCCCCAGGCCTCCTGGCCTCCCGCAGTCCTCTTGGGGAGGGCAGGGCTGCACAAAATCCCCCATGGCCCTGAGTCCATCAGAGATGCCTGGAGTCCAGCGATCCAGCTGCTTTTGGGGAGACCACCCCGAGGGGGCTTCTTCTCTAGGGCTGTCTTCTGGGTTACTGTAGAGCCAAGGGGTCCCCATAGCCCTGCTCTGGGGGAATGGTGGGGCCTGTGGGGTCTGCACAGGGCACACTGCTTGCCCCAGAAGCCCTGCTGGGTGGCGGGGCCTGACCAGGCGCCTCTGTCCCCCACAGCCGGTCACCAGGACGATGGCGCGTCCTTTGACCTCTTCAGCGTCAGCAACATCAACCGCAAGACCATCGGTGCCAAGCAGTTCCGGGGGCCCGAGCCCGGCGCCCCCGCCTACCGCTTCGTGCGGTTCGACTACATCCCGCCGGTGGGCGCGGAGGCCCTGGGCCGGATCGCCGAGGCCGCGCGGCGGCTGGACGGCTTCTTCCTCACGGCCCGCCTGAAGCAGGACGGCCAGTCCAGGGGCACCCTGCTGGCGCTCGAGGGCCCCGGCGCCACCCACCGGCAGTTCGAGATCGTCTCCGATGGCCCGGCGGACAGCCTGGACCTCACCTACTGGACGGGCAGCGGCCCGCACCAGCTGTCCCTGGAGGACGTGGGCCTGGCCGACTCCCAGTGGAAGGACATCACCGTGCAGGTGGCGGGGGGCACCTTCAGCCTGCACGTGGGCTGTGACCTGGTGGACAGCGTGGCGCTGGACGAGCCCTTCTACGAGTGGCTGCAGGCGGAGAAGGGCAGGATGTACGTGGCCAAGGGCGCTGCCCGGGACAGCCACTTCCGGGTACGTGCTGCGGGGGCAGCAGGTGCGGGACACCGCCCAGGCCACGGCTGCACCCCGGCTCCACGGGGCCGCGCACACCCGCCCGTCCACAGCGTGTCCTCCGCGGGCAGCTGTCCCGGTGCGGCCGGCGGCCCCCGTCCCATCTCTGGCCCGGCCACCCTGTGCTGCGCCCGGCGAGGGGACCGGACCCATCCTGGCAGGGGGGTCGACCCCGGGGCGGGAGGGCCCACGCATGCTGCTGTTTGCCGGGTGGCACCCGAGCTGAGTCAGCACCGGGCGGCCCCAGGGGACCAGGCGTGTGTGACCAGCTGGCGGCTCCATCGCCCCTCCTCCCTGTGCCCCCAGGGCCTGCTGCAGAGCGTCCACTTGGTGTTTGAGGAGTCTGTGGAGGACGTCCTCGGCGGCAAGGGCTGCCCGCCCAGCCAGGGAGGTGGGTGCCGAGGGGGGAGCCGCGGGCCGGGTCACCCCTGGACGTTGCCTTGACCTGGAGCTCTCCTCGCCCGCGAGGGTGGCCCTGGCTCGTGCAGGCTGGGCTCCGGCCCGGCGCGTCCACGCTGGGGGCATCAGGTCACCTCGAGGCGCCTGCGGCCTCTCAGGGGTTTCTGACCTGTCCCTGCCGCTGGGGGCGCTCGCTGCCAGGCAGACCCCGCCTGGCCGGCCGGACCCGGGCCCAGGTCCCAGCCCAGGTCCCAGCGCGTCCCGCCGTGAGGCCTGAGCTGCCCTTTAAACGCGGGCGTCACTTCTAGGGAGTCACCTAGAGAGAGTCTGACTTTCCTCTTAGGAATGTGGAGCTGAGCCCTGGGGGCCCGCGCACCCCGGCTGCGCCCCCACCCAGAGCGTGCCAGGCTGGGCCGTGGGAGAGTGGGGGGGCGGAGGGCTGGGGGTGGGGATGGGCTGGGGGTGGGGACTCCTGAGTCGCCGTGGACAGGTTCTGTGTCTGTGCCGGGGCCAGGCCGCCAAGGGCTGCCGTCTGGGGCCGCCCTGAAGGGCTGAGTTCAGCGAGGGCGGCAGGAAGAGGCGGCGGTCTTGGCGAAGCCCCCCCAGAAGAGGGCCGTAAGGGGCGCAGAGAGCGGGCAGCAGAGGCCAGTTGAGAGGGTGACCGGGTAGCGCGGCCCCGGGGCGGACGGGCCGCCTCACCCCCTGTGCCCTGCAGCGGAGGCCAACGCCATCAGCGAGGACACGGACACGCTGCGCCTGAGCCCCCCGGCCGAGCTGCTGGGCCCCGGCGTGTGCGAGCACTCGTGCGAGGAGCTGGGCCGCGCCATCCGCGAGCTGCAGGGGCTGCGCCTGGTGGTGGACCAGCTGCACGAGAACCTGCGCGCGGTGGTGGGTGCCCGCCCCGCCCGGCCCCCGGCCCGGCCCCGGCCCGCCCCGGCCCCAAGCCCGCCCCGGCCACCCCGGCCCAGGCCCTGTCCCCCGCGTGTCCCTGCCCGCGTGGGGGGCGTCCTGACTCCACTCGCGACGCGGGCCTGGGGCTCGGCTCTTCTGTCTGCGCTCGAGGCCGCGTCTGTGTGCACTGACCTCGCTGCGTCTTCCAGTCGAGCGACAACCAGTTTTTCTGGGAGCTCATCGGGGGTCCTCACAAGACAAGGAACATGTCCGCTTGCTGGCAGGACGGCCGGGTCTTCGCAGAGAATGCGACCTGGGTGGTGGACAGCTGCACCAAGTGTACCTGCAAGGTGGGCGCCTGCAGGGCGGGTTGCCTGTGGGCTGGGCTCCTTCAAGGGGGGCTCCTGTAGAGTGGGGCGCACTCGCCCCCTCAGGGCAGGGTCACCTGCCGGCCACCGCCCCTGGCCCGACTCGGTCGCTGGAGGCGGTCCGCCGGGAGCGGCAGGAGCCGGGTGTCAGCCCAGGGCACGAGGCTGCCCTACAGGCCCTGGCGCTGTCCTCCGGGAGGTCCGGGTGCCCTCACTGCTCAGGGTGGGTGCGGGCGCAGGGAGTGGGGGCGCCCGTGGGCCCCGGCTCGGGAGGGAAGGCGGGGCTGCCCTTCTCAGGTCTGGGCGCCCCACGCGGGCTGGGATTCAAGCCTCCCGTGGGGCTCCCGGGTCCCGCGGTGACTCCATCTTCACTTGCAGAAGTTCAAGACCGTTTGCCACCAGATCACATGCCCGCCCGTGACCTGCGCCCACCCGACCTTCGTGGAGGGCGAGTGCTGCCCCTCCTGCACCCACGGTGAGTGCCCGGACGGCCCGCGGGTGCCGGGGCTGAGCAGATGTGCAGGTGAGGGGAGGAAGTGGCCGGCACTGCCCCCGCCGCCCGCCCTCACCGGCGCCCAGGACGGCCCGCAGGACCTTGGGGGGCAAAGGCAGCCAGGGGCTGGAGAAAGCCGCTCTCCTCGGGGGCCCAGGGAGCTTCATGCCCACGTGTGGGTGCAGGATGGACATGGAGCTCAGCCCCACCCCTCACGCGCGTGGTTTTGAGCAAAATGCATTTTCTGGGCTTCAGCGTCACCGTCACCGGCGGGAACAGGCGGGAGCGGGCCCTCCGGGGTGTCGCGTGAGCAGCACGGCCTGTGCGGCCAGTGCCCGCCGCGTGCCCATGAGGGGACGGTGCAGGGCGGGGCGGGGGGCGGACACTTGTCTTCGCAGCGTCAGCAGCGCGGCGCCCCTCGGCAGGGCAGGGCGGGACAGCCGCTGCTCGAGTCGCTGTCCTCATTGGGGGCCGCGGCTCCCCGAGAAGCCCCTGCGCAGCCACTGCCTCTGCTGGGCGCGTTTGGAGGGCCTTGGAGCTCCTCCAATGCCCTGTCCTTTCACCCCCGAATTGAAACGCGTCGTGACGCACGCAGCGAGGGAGGTGGTGGGGGCCGGCGGCCCTCTGGCTGTCACCGGGCGCGGGCTGGCCGCACTCCCACTGGTCAAGGGCAGAGCAGACGTGAGCGCAGCCGCCTCCTGGCCCGGGCACAGGCGGGCAACCCCGGGCGCACAGCAGGCCTCTGCCCCACGCACTGTGAGCGGCTGCTCGGGCGGCCCCGCCGGCCCCTGCTGGACACAGCCCGCTCCCCAGCGTCCCGTCTGTCCCTCTGTCCGTCCATCCACTTGCTCGCTGGCTCTCGCAGGCGCCTGGGCCTATCCTACTGCGATGGCTGGTCCTGAGCCTGATGGCTTTTATGTCCCTGGCAGCGGCCGGCGAGGAGGGCTGGTCCCCATGGGCGGAGTGGACCGAGTGCTCGGCCACCTGTGGGCCCGGCACCCAGCAGAGGGGCCGCTCCTGCGACGCCACCAGCAGCAGCTGCCTGGGGCCGTCCATCCAGACGCGGGCCTGCAGCCTGGGCCAGTGCGACCACCGCAGTGAGTGCAGGCGGCGCGGGGCTGCGGGCGGAGGGCGGGCGGGCGGGCGGGCGGGCGGGCCGGGAGCAGCCAGCCTGGCCGGGCCGCCGCCTGCTGGGCCCAGGGCTCACGGCCACTCCCCCGCGCCAGTCCGGCAGGACGGGGGCTGGAGCCACTGGTCGCCTTGGTCGTCCTGCTCCGTGACCTGCGGCGTTGGCAACATCACGCGCATCCGGCTCTGCAACTCGCCGGTGCCCCAGCTGGGGGGCAGGAGCTGCAAAGGCGGCGGGCGGGAGACGCGGGGCTGCCAGGGCAGCCCCTGCCCAGGTGAGCCGGGCCGCGTCCAGGGCCGGCCTCCTCCTGCCGGCGGGAGTCGAGGCCCAGGCCCCGGAGCCGCCCGCGGAGGCCCGGGGGTGGGGTGTGGGCGGAGCGGGGCGCTGAGGGACGCGGCTCACGTGGCTTCCCGGGAGCCCTCCGCGGCCCGCGGCCCGTGCAGGGCCTGGCCCAGCCGCAGTCTCTGCCTGGAGGAAAACCCAAACGCTGGGAGTTTCGCCCTCCACGTGACCCGAGCGCCCGCGGGCCGGGGAAGGGCCTGCTCACGGTCCTCGGGTCCTCCGGGAAGCCCGAGCGCCCCCTCTGTGCTTCTCTGCAGTCGATGGCCAGTGGAGCCCCTGGTCCCCGTGGTCAGCCTGCTCTGTCACCTGTGCTGGGGGCATCCGGGAGCGGACACGCGGGTGCAACAGTCCCGAGCCTCAGCACGGTGGGAAGGCGTGTGTGGGCGCCGCGCAGCAGCAGCAGATGTGCAACAAGCGGCGCTGCCCGATTGGTGGGTGTGCTTGGGGGGTGTGCACGGAGGGCGTGCGTGGTGTGTATGTGTGGAGGGTGCCTGTGGTGTGTGTGCGTGGAGGGTGTGCGTGGTGTGTGAGTGGAGGGCGTACATGGTGTGTGTGCGTGGAGGTGTGTGTGGAGGCGTGCGTGGTGTGTGTGCGTGGAGGGCATGCATTGCAAGGAGGTGTGCATGGTGTGTGTGTGGAGGACGTACATGGTGAGTGTGCGTGGAGGCATGCGTGGTGAGTGTGCGTGGAGGGCGTGCATGGAGGCGTGCATGGAGGTGTGCGTGGAGGATGCGTGGAGGGCGTGCGTGGAGGGCGTGCGTGGCGTGTGTGCTCCCAGTCAGGTCCCCACACGTGACAGCCGAGCCTGCTGGGAGTGTCTCCCCACCTGGGCGCCGCCCGGCGAGGTGCCCCAGGTGGAGCTCCACCCGCCTCACGGGCCGCCCTCGCCCCGCAGACGGCTGCCTGTCCAACCCCTGCTTCCCCGGGGCCGAGTGCAACAGCTTCCCCGACGGGTCCTGGTCCTGCGGCTCCTGCCCGGCCGGCCTCCTGGGCAACGGCACCCACTGCGAGGACCTGGACGAGGTGGGTGTGGGCGCCGCGGGGGCCGGGGCGGGGGGGTGGGCGCCGGCCGGGCTCACGCGCCGTGTCCCCCCAGTGCGCTGTGGTCCCGGACGTCTGCTTCCCGATGGGCAAGGCCCCCCGCTGCGTCAACACCAACCCCGGCTTCCACTGCCTGCCCTGCCCCCCGCGCTACAAGGGCAGCCAGCCCTTCGGGGTCGGCCTGGAGGCGGCCAGGACGGGGAAGCAGGTGAGGCCTCTGGGCGGGGGCCAGAGCCGGGGCAGGCCGGCTGGGGCGGGGGGGGGGGGGGGGGGGGGCTGGAATGCCTCGGCATGGGGGAGGGGTTGCCGCGGTGGGGCCTCGCCTCGGCCGCCCTGACCGCAGCGGCTGCCCCCGCCCGGCGCGGCTCAGGCCCTTGTGGGGTGGGGCTCGGGGGTCGGGGTCCCCGTCGAGCCGCGCCCTCGCCGCAGGTGTGCGAGCCCGAGAACCCCTGCGAGGACAGGACGCACAGCTGCCACCGGCACGCGGAGTGCGTGTACCTGGGCCACTTCAGCGACCCCATGTACAAGTGCGAGTGCCGGACGGGCTACGCGGGCGACGGGCGCATCTGCGGGGAGGACTCGGACCTGGACGGCTGGCCCAACAGGAGCCTGGTGTGCGCCGCCAACGCCAGCTACCACTGCGTCCAGGTGGGGCCGCGGGGGCCGGTTCAGAGGTCAGCCTACCTGGGGCAAGTTAGTGGTCTAACAACGGGGAGCCCCAGACCCTCGGGCCCCCTGCTCCCCCGTGGCCCCACCTTTGCGGGCACGGAGAGGCGCTGGTCAGGGGCTGTGGCGGCATCCCTGAGCCCCGGGCCCTGTCCCGAGGCCTCGCCAAGCTCCTGCAGCTTTCGCAGAAACTCAGGCAGTTCAACGGCCAAGACCGCGCGTCCCCCAGGGTGCGGGTCTCTTGAGGACAAAGCACGGCAAGACCCTGCTGTTCCCACGACGTCCCTGCCCTGGGCGCCGGCCCTCGGGCTCGGTCCTGCTTCCCGTCCTGCCAGGCCCACCCGTGCCGCCTGGTCCCGGGGCTGCGCCTGGCGCCTCCGCCCTGGTGTTGACGTCCGCTTGGCCCAGTGTCCAGTCGTCACAGCGGACAGAGCGGAAACCCACATTGTCCGCGCGCTGGGACGCGGGCTCCGGCGAGGCCGTGCTCTGGCGGGCCCTCTGAGCGGCCACGGCGGGGGACGGGCGCGGGCTGGCTCTTGGGGGGGCGGGCTGGCTCCGCGCCCGTCGGTGCCTTCACTGGGGCCTCGGGTGTGGGCGGAGGGGGTCCCATCCCACTTGTGGGGTGCGGCCGGCCCAGGTAGCCCCAGAAGCAGGCTGTGCTGGGGCTCCTGCCCCCGCAGACGCCCACGCTTGCTCCGGCCGCCTGGGGCCTGACCGCCAGCGCCCCTCGCAGGACAACTGCCCACTCCTGCCGAACTCCGGGCAAGAAGACTTTGACCAGGACGGCGCCGGCGACGCCTGTGACGAGGATGACGACAACGACGGGGTCACGGATGAGAAGGTGGGCGGGGCCCAGGAGCAGGGCCTGGAGGGGGGCCTGGCGGGGCCTGGAGGAGGGGGGCCTGGTGGGGGGCCTGGTGGGTGGGGGCCTTGTGGGGGTGTGGGGGGCCTGGCAGGGGCCTGACGGGGGTGGGGGCCTGGTGGGGCCTGGTGGGGCCTGGCGGGGGGCCTGGCGGGAGGGGGCCTGATGGGGGGTGGGGGGCCTGGAGGGGGGCCTGGCGGGGCCTGGAGGAGGGGGCCTGGCAGGGGGCCTGACGGGAGGGGGCCTGATGGGGGCTGGGGGGCCTGGAGGGGGGCCTGGCGGGGCCTGGAGGAGGGGGGCCTGGCAGGGGGCCTGAGGGGGGGTGGGGGCCTGATGGGGGGTTGGAGGGCCTGGCAGGGGGCCTAACCGGGGCGGGGGGCCTGGCAGGGGGCCTCGCGGGCAGGGTGTGCTCCGTGGCACCCAGGGCATCAGGCCCTCCTGAGGCCGGTGCAGGCAAGAGCCCGGGCCACAGTGCAAGCCGCTGAGCTGCGCCTCACTGTGCCAATGGGGGCCGCCTGCCCCTCGGGCCCGAGCGTGTTGCCATGTCCGAGGAAAGGCCTTTTCCTGCACAACAAATGATTTAACATGGCGGCTCGCACCCCGGCCTCTGCCGGAAGTGGGGCGCCCGCAGCCAGGAAACGCGTGTCCACACGCCAATGGACGACGGGGCATCAGGCGTGTCCTCCGGCCCCGCTGCCTCCTCTCCAGCACTGCCTGACCGGGGTGCCGGACGCCCGGGTGAACCCCGCGAGGACCCGGCCTTCTCTGAAACCCCCTCGCCCTTCCCTAGGACAACTGCCCGCTGCTCTTCAACCCCCGGCAGCTGGACTACGACAGGGACGAGGTGGGGGACCGCTGCGACAACTGCCCGCAGGTGCACAACCCCGCCCAGATCGACACCGACCACAACGGGGAGGGCGACGCCTGCTCAGTGGACATCGATGGGGACGGTCAGTCCCGCCTGCCCACCGGGAGTGGCCAGCTTGGCTCCGTCCTGTGCCTGTCATGTGAGCTATGGTTGCGTGAGGCGAGGCGGGCGGGGTGGGGCTGACCACCTGCCTCCTCACCCGCGCCCCGCAGACGTCTTCAATGAGCGTGACAACTGCCCCTACGTGTACAACACGGACCAGCGGGACACGGACGGCGACGGCGTGGGCGACCACTGCGACAACTGCCCGCTGGTGCACAACCCCGACCAGGTACCGCGGGCTGGGCAGCCGGGGGGCCAGGCCCTGGCCAGGGGCGCGTCAGGTGAGCGGCCAGGAGATGGCCGGGTGTCAGGTACAGCCTCGGTGTCCGTGGCCCCGGGAAGCCCCGAGCACAGCTCTTGCCCTCTGCGGCCTGTGGGGTCCACGAGGCGCGCCGGGCCCCCAGCAGGGCCTCTGCTGGTCCCGGGCCCTGTGGCCGCCACCGTCGCCTCCGGGGCCTTCTGCAGCGCCCGGGTCTGAGAGGGGCGGCGGGGCCCGTGGGGCAGGCGGGCTCTGCCTGAGGCCTGCACCCACCAGCCCTGCGCCTGGGGCCGAGGGCGGCAGAGGCCGGGCCCGGCAGTGGCGGCCTCACTGGACGTCCCTCTCCCCGCCGGCCGCCTGCAGACCGATGTGGACAATGACCTGGTGGGAGACCAGTGTGACAACAACGAGGACATCGACGAGGACGGACACCAGAACAACCAGGACAACTGCCCCTACATCTCCAACGCCAACCAAGCCGACCACGACCAGGACGGCCAGGGCGACGCCTGCGACTCCGACGACGACAACGACGGGATCCCCGACGACAGGGACAACTGCCGGCTGGTGTTCAACCCCGGCCAGGAGGACACGGACGGTGGGTTTGCAGCGCGGCCGCAGGCCCGGTCGTCTCAGGCTGCGCCAGCCCCGGGGAGGAGGCGCCCCGCGAGCTGGGCAGTGGTGGCAAGTGGCTGCAGGGAGGGCGGGCAGCGGTGCTCGAGGACGCAGACATGGCAGGACATGTGAGAAAGACGCTGTGGCCCAGCAGCCGCGTGGCGGGGCTGCGGCAGCTGGGCCGGAGGGCAGGGCCCCAGGAGGCGTCTCGCGGCTGGCACACGGGAGTGGTGCTCGGCGCGGGGCACGGGTGCCTTTGCTCCTGAGTCCTAGTGGTTCGCTGGCTTGGGGGCCCCAGGGGCACCCAGATACGGTGTGTTGGTGACTGAGCCCACGTGGCTGAGAAGCACAGGAGGGTTCCTGGTCTGAGGGCCCCCCAGGGAGCCCCAGGATGCTCTGTCCTGACCCGCAGAGGTCTTTTCCCACAGCCGCTGGGCAGGGTGGGGCTGCTGGCCTGGAGAGGGCCGAGGGCCCATCTCGGGGGCCCACCTCTCACAGGGCGTCAGCGGGATGCTGGTGACAAAAGGAACTGAGCACAGACTGAGGAGTACGATGGGGAGGAGTTTCAGTTGACATTGATTCTCATCTTCTTCTAGAACAATCTGCATGGTAATGGGTGCTTGAATAAATCCTAACTGCCTGTAGGACTGAAACAGGGGTAGACAGGGCTGCAAGGCCACAGGCCAGGAGGGCGGCTGGAGTGATGGAACGGCTGTCCACCTGTCCAGGCTCTGAGACCAGAGAAGCCCCCAAAGCCCCCAAAGGCCACAAACCAAAACCCAAGGCCAGGCCCTAACAAAGGACAGGGCCCAGTAAGAGGACAGGTCAGTCTGTGGGCCTCGCCCACACGCACAACTGCCAGAGGCCTCGGGCTCCAGGAACAGCCACCCCGGGGTGTATTTTACAAACGGGGAGACAAAGAGCTCATGTGGTCACCACCCAGATGGTCACCACGGGTCGCCAGGAGTGCTGGGCAGCTCTGGCCAGTGTGATGGTCACCACTGGTCCCGCAGAGGCCGTGTCAGAGACACCCAGTGTCACAGCTCTGCGTGAGCTGTTGGGCGACACCAGCAGCAACAGCTCTTTGCGCCGCCAGGCCGGGCGGGGCTCTGGGGCTCCCTTCAGGCATGAAGAAAGACGAGGCCCCGTCCCGGCAGAGGTCTTGGGCTCCGCTCCCTCCGGGCGGGCGGCGGCTGGACGCTGCTTTTCCTCTTGCTTCGGAGCCAGGGGCGGAGCCTGCCCTTCTTTCTTCTTCCTTCAGAGGCTGGAACCATCTTGTCTTCAGGGGCTGGTGCAGTTGCTCCCTCAGCTCCACCCACCCTGGCTTATGTCCTCGCGGGGCGCCCCACCCCCACGGCCGATTGGCCCGTTTTCCAATCCTGTGGCTGATGGGGCCATTTAGCACCAGTCGGCTCACAGCTCACACCTGGCTGGTCCACTCCACGACCAGCAAGTGCCTGTTACCTGAAGGGCTCCGAGGCGCAACTGCCCCAACCGACTGTGGTGGCGCCAGGAGAGACCAGCGCCGCTGCGGCTGCCACCACTGACCCGGTGGTTCCGGTGACAGAACGAGCACTGTAGCCCGTGACTGGCAGCTGCACCATCACCCCACCTGACCCTTCCCGCCTACCCTCACCCCACCCCAGCCCTCACCCAACCTCTCTAGAAAACTAGATGAGAAAACTCAAAAGAAGGGCGTCCACAGCTCCCAGGAGCCCTGAGAGTGAGCCAGCTCCGCCCCGAGTGCTGTGGGGTGACCAAGAGGCCACAAAAAGTGACCAGAGGGGAGCTGAGACTCAGCTGCCCTCACTGGGCCACATGTGGCCGCACTGGGTTGGGCAGGTGTGGGCTGCTCTGTGGGGTCCGGGCCCCGCCCCAGCTCTCCCACGCGGCCACCTCCGGGCAGCACCTGTGAGCACTGAGGCCCGAGGTCATGGAGGGGCGAGCCGGGCGGCCAGCCCTGCGGGCGTGCTGCGCTGGGGCCTCCCTCCACCCGCTGTGTTCCTGGTGACAGGTGATGGGAGGGGCGACATCTGCAAAGACGACTTTGACAACGACAGCGTCCCGGACATCGACGACGTGTGTCCGGAAAACAACGCCATCAGTGAGACCGACTTCCGGAACTTCCAGATGGTCCACCTGGACCCCAAAGGCACCACTCAGATCGACCCCAACTGGGTGATCCGCCATCAAGGCAAAGAGCTGGTGCAGACGGCCAACTCCGACCCTGGCATTGCAGTGGGTGAGCCTCAGGGCGCGCCCCCCCCAACCGGGGTGCCCAGTGTGCTTGGGAGGGCGAGCCTTGCCCCCGGCCCCTCTCCCTCCTATCTAGCCCCACCTCCCCGGCACCCCTCCCCCTCCCCGGCCCTGCCTCCCTGACCCCTCCTGCATGGTTGCAAGGCCTTGGGCTTGACCTGAGCTGACAGGAGAGCTGAGGCCAACCTCCCTCCCAGGGTCCTGGGGTGTCAGGCCATTTTGCTTCACGCCGAGTTGGTCTCCGACTTCCCACCGCAGGGCTGAGCTGTGCTGGGCCTCCCCGAGGACCTCACAGCTGCGGTGCCAGCCTGAGCAGGATGGGCGAGGGCGCCGCCACCCCGTGTGCCCGTGGGACCGTGGGCAGCAGTCCTGTGGCACCCCTTACAGGCCCCATGACCAGGCGTCCTCTGCCCCAGGCTTCGATGAGTTTGGGTCTGTGGACTTCAGCGGCACCTTCTACGTCAACACGGACCGGGACGACGACTACGCCGGCTTCGTCTTCGGGTACCAGTCGAGCAGCCGCTTCTACGTGGTCATGTGGAAGCAGGTCACCCAGACCTACTGGGAAGACCGGCCCACCCGGGCCTACGGCTACTCCGGGGTGTCCCTCAAGGTGGTGAACTCCACCACGGGCACAGGCGAGCACCTGAGGAACGCCCTGTGGCACACGGGGAACACGGAGGGGCAGGTGAGCGGCCGCGGCCGGGGTTTGTGGGAGGGAAGAGCCAGGGCTCCCAGAGACAGGCCGGGAACCGACCCCCGGAGCCAAGCCACAGCTGCCCTCACAGGCTTCCGGCGGGGGGGTCCTGCTGGCCAGGGACACCGCCCGGTGTCATAGACACAGCTGGTGCTCCCTGGCATGTGGGACCCAGCACTGCCCGGGCAGACTCCAGCCAGCAGGCGCCCAGGCTGAGGCCTTTGTCCCAGGGCCCCATGTGAGGGAGCAGAGGTCTGGAATGGGAGCCCATCTGGGGCCGGTGCCTGCGCCCCAGCCCTGCACCGCAGCTCAGCGCCCCAATCCCTACACCCAGCCCCATGCCCGGAGCCCTGCGCCCCAGCCTGGTGCCCCAATACCTGCACCCCAGCCCCATGCCCCACCCATCGCAGAGACTCCCCCCTACAGTGTGGGCAGAGCCAGCAACTCGGGACTCACAGCCGAGCAGCCCTTCGGTTCCCAGTTGGTGTAAAACTGTCGTGAAGGCTCGGCGTGTGGGCTGAGCTTGAGTGCCACCCCCAGGTCCGCACTCTGTGGCACGACCCCAAAAACATCGGCTGGAAGGACTACACGGCCTACAGGTGGCACCTGATCCACAGGCCCAAGACGGGCTACATGAGGTGAGGCGCGGCCCCCCGCCCCCCGCAGCCGGCGCACCCTGTGCTCCGGGTTCTTCTGCCTCGGCCGCCCCTTCCCTGCTGCACACGCTGCTCGCTTTCCGGAAAACAGGAAAAGCGTGGAAGAGGGAACATCCAGGCCCCGGGTCCCAGGGGCCAGGGACAGTGTCTCCTCCTGGGGGGCGCAGGACCCAGCGGTTCCCGGAGCCCTGGGGTCCCCTCCCACCCCGCCTGCTGGAGCCGGGCCCTGTGCTGCGGGGGGAGCCCTCTGGGCCCTGCTCACGGCTCCCCAGAAGGGGCTTTAGCACCTGAGGGTCGGGAGGTCCCATGCAGAGACCTGAGTCCCAACAGGGGCAGGACAGGCCCCCCAGAAGCCGCCTCTGCTCTCAAAGGTGGAGGAGGCTGGAGCCTCCCTGGGCCCTGCCTGCCCCCATAGGCTCTGGCCGCGCCCACACAGGGGCTCCGTACCCCCTCTCTCCCCTCCCTGGCCTCAGAGTCTTGGTGCACGAGGGCAAGCAGGTCATGGCCGACTCGGGACCCATCTACGACCACACGTTCTCCGGCGGGCGCCTGGGCCTGTTCGTCTTCTCTCAAGAGATGGTCTATTTCTCGGACCTCAAGTACGAGTGCAGAGGTGGGTGCCCGCGCCGCGCCCGGGCCGGCCGCCTGGGGGGAGCACTTACGCCTGCGCCGAGCACTGCTGCCCCCAGGCCCAGGCGGGCGCCCCCCCGACCCCCACCCCCGCCGGAGCCCCCACTCCTGCCCCCGCTCCCCCCCCCCCGTCCCGCTGCCCTCAGCTCCGGCTGCTCCCCCGCAGGATTGCCTTAGAGTGAGCTGGAAACTCAGGTCTTCCGTGCGCGTGTGGGCGGCAAACCGGGCCTAGAGGCCGGACACAGTGGCCGCGCCTTGCCGGTCAGAGCCTCGGGGCAGCGCCGAGAGGGCCCCGGGAGCCTCCTCGCAGCGCAGAGGGGGAGAGTTTAGGTGGAGGAGGCAGGTCTTAGGGCGCGAGAAAGTGGACTTGACGGGGAGGCCGTTAGCCCCGCGGCCCCTGCACTGGACCCTCCGGAGCCCCTGGTTCGATGCCTTCCGCCCCTGAGAGCAGCTTAGGCTTTGGGCCTTGCTAAAAATAGAAAGAAGGAGGGGGGGGAGACGATGCTCGGCTGTTGACGGGTCTGAGAGTCGGGGTGTGGATGGGGGGCTGGGGGCTTCAAGGCCCGCACCTCTCCACGGGGGGCCGCAGGGAGAAGGGACCGCGGCGGAGGCCCGTCCTCTTGCTCTGGAGATGTCTTCTCCCCCGTGTTAGCTTTCCAAGACACTGTCCCCCCCTCCACCTCCGTTGTGGAAATCCTTTTTAAAATAAAATCGGGGGCCGCCCCTCGTGGCTGCCCGCAGGCTCTGCGGCGCCGGTTCGATCCCCGGCTGCTCCCCGGCCCCCGGAGGAGGGTCCCGCATGGCGCGCAGACCTCTCCTGCCGCCCGCTGCTCCCCTCAGCAGTGTCCTTCGGTCCTTCTGCCTGCTCTGCTCCCCGCTCTGGCTCTGGTGGATTCTCTCACCCTCCCGCGCTTCTGAGTGTGCCCAGTGCTTGTGTAAATACATAAATCTTAAAAATAAAATAAAGTAGAATCGGGACGTCAGGCCTCTGAGCACGGCCTGCTAACTCGCGGCTGTCTTGCAGACGTCTGAAGGGGACGCCTGTGCTCTGCGATGTACTGTAGCGCCGGCCTCCTGGCCAGCTCCCCCCAGCAGCCTCCGTCCTCCTGGCCCCGCCCAGCCCGCCCCGAGTGCCTTCAGGGGACGAACACCCGGCCCGGCGTGAACGTCCACTCGAGGAGAGCTGTCCGGCCGCGGGGGAGTGAAGACAGCGCGGCCGGCTGCCCCCCTGTTCAAGAGAACGACGTTTGCACACAGGGTGGGGCGCCCCTTGCCCGGCGCCCCCGAGGTGAGGGGCGAGTGCGGTGACCCCGCGAGCAGGAACAGCGGCACTGAGAACGCGGCAGCCCCGGGTGGGAGCTGCTCCCGGTCGCTTCCTGCCGGGGCCCAGAGCGGATCCAACGGCGCAGGAGCCCGGGATGCGCTTCCTCCAGGACGGCGGGCAGCGGGCTGGGCGGCCGGCCCCTGCGCCTGGACGTCGAGGCTGGCTGGAGCCGCACCCCGGCCTGCGCTGGGGGAGCCGGTCAGCACCTTGGGCCCGGGACTCGGGAGCGGGGAGTGTCGCCCCCTCGGGGGCAGCATATTTTGTTAAGGTTCCTGTTAAAAATGTGTTGTTCATATTTATTAAATGAGTATAGAATGCAGCTCCGCTCATCCGTGACTCGTTTTAAACGCACCACGTCACACCCACGTAGCAAGTTTCTAGAAACAAACACCAGGTAATACTGGGAGGCGCAGCCACGGCCCGGCGCCTCCCGTCCCCGCAGGCCCACGCCGTCTCGACAGCGGCGGGAGCGCGAGGGCTGTGCGGCCCAGCAGCTCTGGCCGGGGCGCCCTCCTGTGTGCTCCGCGCCCTCTGCCTGTTCTATGCACGGAAAGCTTTTCCGACACGCAGGAAAGCTTCGCGTTGCCTTTCCCACGCACGGCCTGGTCTGCTCAGCCTCTGAGTGGCCCCGGCCCCTGCCGGCGGCGCAGCAGGTGTCTCTGCCGGGTCCAGAGAGAGGGCCAGAGGCTGGGCCTCCCCCGTGCGTTGTGCTGTTGCACAGCGCCGCCCCAGGGTCCCTGGGAAGCTCTGGTCTGGTCTTGCTCCGCGGGGGACGGGGAGTGGGGGGGTGGGGGGCAGCTCTGGGCGCACAGCGAGGCTGGGGGTGGAGCGAGGCTAGAGGGCAGGAGCGGGGCTGGGGGCGGAGGCCAGGCTGGGGGCAGGGGAGCAGGGCTGGGGGCAAGGGACGGCCAGGGGCTGGCGAGCAGGAGGCGCCGCGTGCACTGGAATCTTCTGTGAACTATTTATATTTTTAAAACCGACACTTGTACAGTTTGATGAAGCTTCCTCTAGCCAGAGACTGTCATATTTATTTATTTCTTCGCGCGGTCAGAGTGTCCCCCCTGAAGCCTGCGTTTAGTTTCAGCCTGGCTTTTGTACTTCAGAGATGAACAGCCGGAAATCAACTGTGAAAGCTCCTCTATAAATGAATCTCCCTTTTTCAAAAAGCACGAGCAGAGATTCCCTGGGGAGGCAAGAACCGGCGTCCTGCGGGGGCCGAGGCGCCCCGTGCTCCGCTGGGCGTCAGCAGGAGAGGCTGCCCCTCCGGTTCCATGGGGGGGTCCCCGAGACGCCCCGGCCTCCGCTGCTCACCGTCCGGAGAGGAGGCCCTTGTGCGCAGCTACTGGCCTCGCGGGATGGCTCAGAAAAAGCAGGGACACCAGGGGCGCCCCCCACCCTGTGCACGGGTGACCGTCCCCCCGACCCCGAGCGCTGGGGCAGCGGAGAGGCAACATGTGTCCACACCGCCTCTCGCCTGCCCAGGCCGGGGCAGCTGCTCCTGAGTCCTCTGCGCTGGGGGCACCTGAGCACCGGGCAGAGAGGGCCAGGGCCAGGGGAGCGCTCATGTTTCCAGCCGTGGTAGTGGAGACGGGTCAGGAAGGAGCCCGGAGGGCCGAGGGACGCGAGAAGGGCGGGCTCTGTCACTGGCGACTGGGAGTCCCCCCTGCCCCCCACTCCACGTGCAGCCAGAGGCCCTGGGAGGCCCAGCAGCCCAGGAGGCCAGGGCTTGGGCTGAGCGGTCACTGGGGGCCGAAGGGCCCTTGGTGGGCACTTTACAAAACGAAAATACATGATGTGTTTGGTGATGATTCTTAGGAACCAGGCACTAAAGTGAAGGACTTTTCCCATTTAGGATTTTTTGTCATTTATTGAAAAATTAAGTTTTCTGCTTGGCTGCTTTGTCCCGTCTCAGACCTTCATGCACACCCACATGCCCACCGCGCACCCACACCATGCACACCAGCACGTGCACACCACACGCCCACGCCGCATGTCCACATCGCACACCCCACATCCATCCCGCACGCCCCCTGTCCACACTGCACGTCCACACTGCATGCCCCATGTCCATACTGCATGCACCGAGCTTTGGGAGAAGTGGTGTTTTGACATCAGCGTTTTAGCAAAGAGGCCCAGCAGCCAGGCCCGGCCACGCTGGGCAGCTGGGCTGGGCGAACCCTCTCCCAGGTGCTTCCTGCTCTGCCCGGGCTGGCGGCCGCCGTCTGCGAGGGAGCCCCAAAGAGCCGAGTCTAAAGCAAAGGGTCAGGCGGCGAGACGGCGCCCCATCTTCTGTGCTACTTGCTTACTTTTAAATAGTCATTTTGTGTTTACGTAAATCCGTTCATTCCGTGGATGACTTTTCTAGCTACGAGAATTATCCAGTTGTCCCAGGGTGGCATGGAAGGCACATGACTGTGCTCAGTGTCCAAAAATGCAATTATCTTCCGTTAATGTGGCGCCGGAGCGTCGCGCGTCCACATGTGCTGCGTGCCCAGGGCGCGTGAAGGAGACGCCGGGGCGGGGGTGGTGGTGGTGGTGCTGTGCCGGCTGTCACGCGCCCGCAGCACGCGCCGACGAGAGGCAGCCGGGCCTCTGGTGTGATTTCCTTGGGTGAGGATTGAGGGCGAGTCGGTGAGGATTTCAGCTGCTCGGAAGGATGAGGACGGCACAAGCACCGGGAGGAGTCGCTCCAGATTTTGGGTTTCCTGCCCTGTTTGGGGAGGACAGACTTTCCCCTCTGTGGGGAGCCCTGACCCTGGCCTAGGAGGAGAGTGAGGCCAGGCTGAGGCCAGGTCCTGGACAACGGACAGCGGGACACGTGAAACCTGCGCTGGCCGTCCCCTAAGGCACGTCGCCGCGTCCTTCTGGGCTGTCCGTGTGGTTTGAGGAAGAGCATAGCATCCGGCCACTCCAAATCCATCGCTAGAGAGAGAATTATAGGTCATTCTCCCTCATTCCTAGCTCTTCTCCTCTCATGCCATCCATTCGTGGGATCAAAGACTGGGTGTGGGGCCTCCCCGGTGGCGCAGCGGTTGAGCGCTGGGTTGAGAAGCTCCCCGCGGCCTCCGCGGCGCCGGTTCGATCCCCGGCTGCTCCCCGGCCACCGGAGGAGGGTCCCCCACGGCGCGCAGACCTCTCCTGCCGCCCGCTGCTCCCCTCAGCAGTGTCCTTCAGTCCTTCTGCCTGCTCTGCTCCCCGCTCTGGCTCTGGTGGATCCTCTCACCCTCCCGCGCTTCTGCTGTACCCAGTGCATGTATAAACAAACAAACAAATAAATAAATAAAACATGCCTCTATTTAAAAAAAAAAAAGACTTAAAAAAAAAAAGTGGGTGTGTACCTTAAACCTATACAGGGTAATTTATCAATCGTAGCTCAACAAAGTCAGGATAAACGGGCAGTGAAGGGAAGTCTTACTCGGGAACAAGAATAATGGGCAAACCCACCTGTGCTGCTACGTACAGCAACAAGTGACAGGAGAAGGAAACTAAGAGGATAATTCCACTTACATTCGCATCCAAACAATTGAATACCTAGGAGTAAATTCAGCCAAAGAGGTGAAAGGCTTCTATAACAAAAACTGTGAAACGTTGCTGAAAGAAATGAATAAGAGCCTAAATAAATGAAAAGCCACCGTGTCCTTATAGGTTGGTAGGGCAATTTGCCCCCGGATGGCACCCGCACACTCAGCACATCTGCTGCCAAAATTCCAAGAGCCTTTTTGCAGAAATGGAAAAGATGATGCCCAGATGTCTATGGGACTGCAAGCCAAAACCGAAAAGCCAAAGCACTGGTGAAAAATAGGAGCAGAGGAGTCACATTTCCAAATTTCGAACCTTTCTACAAAGCTAGGCTTCCAAAGCAGCGAGGTGCTGGCACAGGACAGCGCGGCGGGCGGAGCCGAAGGCTCAGAGGCTTTATGGCCGGACATCTGTGGCCAGTTGGGTCCCCAGACCACTGCTAAGGGAGAACAATCTCTTCCACAAACAGTGCTGGGCAGCCGGATGCCTCGCGCCAGAGAACGGCGGTGGCCCCTGCCTCACACCACACACACATCTACTCAGAGTGGGTCAGGAACTGGGCGTCAGAGTTGAAACTGCAGACATCGGCGTCGCGCAGCCGCATCGCTTGGGTCACCAGGCCCACAAGCACGAGCACAGAGAGGACTGTGGCCGTGGCTCTACCCCGTCACGGCAGAGGCGCTCTGCACCCAAGGGTGTTGTCAACAAGGTGAGGACCTCATGGGTCTGATGAGGGTCTGGTGCTCCTAACACATAACGATCTCATACAGCCGCTGGCAAAAGGCAGACAGCGAGGACAGCACGGGACCCGGGTCACGAGTCCTTCTGGAAAAGCAGCCGGACACCCACAGCCACCCCCCAGGATGCGGCAGTGAGGAAGGCCAGCGCTGGCCGGGGTGGGGCATGCGGATGGCCCGGGCACCCCCAGGGAGTGAGAGCAGGAGGCAGGCCCAGGGGTGCTCCCTGCACTGGGCACCTCGGCTGGGCAGGAGGATGCACTGGTCTCCTGGGCACGGACGAGCCTGGGTGACCTCCTAGGAAGTGGGGGAGTCCAGACTCGGGAGATCAGGCAGGTGTCCCGTGGGGGCACCTGCTGGCAGGGCTGCGGCCTCGGTCCGCACTGTGTGAGAAGAGCCGAGATGGGTCCAAAACACACCAGGGAGGCCTGAGTCTCTACCCCCTGCCCCGGGTCTGAGCTGGGGCTCCCTGGTGGCCTCCGTGCCCCGCTCCTGACCTGGGCGAGGAAGGGCTGACCCAGCTGAGAACAGACGGGACTGGCTGGGACGTGAGCTCTGCCGCACCAGACACCGACCCCGGGGCCCCAGTCTGCCCCCCACATCCCTGGGGTGAAACAGGGAGCTCTCGGACCTCCCTGCACCACGGTGGGGGGCTGCCGGCCGGCTCCGAGTGGGTGGGGTTGGGGCGCCCTGGAGCTGGGGTTAGGACGGGTGTTTGAAGCGGCCCTGCACCTGCTCCTGCTTCTGTGTCCTGTGGCCGGAGGGGCAGTGCCTGCTGCTGGGCCGCAGTGAGGGGTGTGCAGGCCTCGGCTGTCCTGACTGCAGGGCTGTGAAATGTGGAAGCCGGGCTTTTGGGGTATCCTGGGGTTACTTTCACATGGGAGGAAACGGAGGCTCAGGGGCCGGTGGTGTCTGGGGCCACAGCCAACGCTTGCCAGCACGGGGAGAGCCCCCGGTGGACCCCAAGGGGCCTGGGCCTGTCTCCGTGGCAGACAGACGGTGTCCAGGGCGGCCGGCAGGCGGCGAGGCGCGGGGTCGTGTCCAGGCCTCTCGCGGG